AGGAAGTCAAATGTCTGAGTGTCTGTTTCTCCTTGCACACTTCCAAGTTCTGCACACACTCAGTCACCACCCAGTCACTTCACTCACTCACCTCTCCCTTTTATCCCCCTTGCTCTTCTGAAACTTGCCAGTGTTTAAAGGAACACGGTCCCACCACACTTTGAATCATTACACGGAGGACCATCTGGGCAAGAAGAGTTCTGTGTGGCTTCTTTCCCACTGATTACAGAGTAAGCAGGTGGGCTGATGCAGGTCAGAGCAAGATAAGGAATGTCTGAATAGGGGCAGCATCACTCTGCCTGGTTTCTTCATGGGGGCATGGGGGCGGGGGTAGGCCAGGGAACTGGAACATTCCACCAAGCAACAAGATTTCTCCTGGAATGACATGACTACAGGTGAGAAAGCTGATAGCCTCCTTGTGGGAGCCAAGCCGGCTTGTTGGAGGCCCTGGGTGCTGAGCTACAGAAGGAGGGATTTTTAAATCTGTTTCTTAGGAACAAAAGCATGTCACAGGAAGCAGAACAGAAACAGTTGCTTCCCATCCTGCTCATTTACAGGCTGGAGTTCCCTGCTAGTTAGATCAGAAGGGGAGCCCGACTAGCCCCTCTCTTCCATTTAAAACCTTTCTGGCTCATGCTGGGAATATCCTCACTTTTACTGCTCCAAAACTCCATGCTACAATTTTCCACTATCTGAGCTGCTTGAAATACTCTTTACCTCCATTCTGCATCACCATCAAATCTGACTCTTGTCTTTCTGAGCCTTGTATTTCTAAGATTCTGCAAATAATACCCCTTTTGCCTAGGCCTGGGATCATCCCAATCCCTGAGCTTTTAGCCTTCCTGGGATCTAGTGTAAGACAGGCTGTTACAGGAATATTAGACAAATATGCTAGACAAATTGATGCTAACCCCAGAGACCCAGAAGCCTCAGGAGACTGTGTCCTGTTATGTTGATTTACCTGACAGACTGAATTAGCAGTTCTCCAAAGGTAATGTGTTTTGTTGGATTAAGCTACTCACTGCTTTCTTTCAAAAAGTATATGATCACTCATTTTCTTTTCTCTCTGCCTTGTGTACTGCTCAGGCAAATTAGATCAATGAAAATATGTGAGTGTATCCTAAGACAGCCTTCCCCAATCTGGTACCCTCTGATTGTGTTGGGCAGCAAATCCCAATATTCCCAGCCAGCATGGGTAGAACGATAGGAGTTATACTCCACCTCATGTCTGGAGGGCACCAGGTTTGGAAAGTCTGACCCAAAATAACATTCTGGGAGATCTTGTTATGTTAAGACCTTTTGAAAGTTTGAATCAACTTTTTGAAAGCAAAAAAGCAGCCTAAGTGTTAGAAATTTGCTTTGTTTAAAATGTTGTACTCTGCCCAGAAATGCATTGACCTCCTGCTTCTAGGAAAGCCAGTTAATCTAGTTCTGTTGTAGACAGTGCTTGGTTGTCATCAAAAACAGTGGGATCACCCGGCACGCAGAACTTCTCCTTGCCTGCCCTCTCCTCCTCTGTAAGCTCAGACTTCGGGAACAGCCAGGGTTAGGGAGCTGTGCCTGCATGTATTCCCAGCCGCCTTATGCCAGGTCAACCTCTTTGCCTGCAAAGACTGACCAAGCATTATGGGCATCCTAATAAGACTGCATACTTATTCTAATTTAGCTTGATCATTTGAAATATGTCTCTGGGAATCATGAGAAAGCAAGGCTCACTGGAGAAGACCAGCATGCTAGAAAACATTAAAGGCAGGAGAGGGGGTGGATCAATTCTATAAAGAGAGCCGCAGCCTTGAGTATATAAGAGCTGAGCAGGGCTGTCATACAGAGGAGATTTTGCAGGGCTTTTATTCATTACTACGGATTGTCCTAAGTTGGAAACAACTTGACAGCACATAATAACAAAAACTACTCTGGGATTAAGTATTCCCAAACAAGTAATAAGATCTGAGCAACATTAGAATTGCATTAACTAATGCACTATGAGATAAAGCATCTCTGATACGCATCTGTTCAGACTTGAACCCATTAATTGAAAAGCCAAAACATAAAAAGCATTATTCACCACAGCAAAGCTGGAACAGATGACTGGCGTTTTGAGATAAACAGTGAAAGATCATCCACATAAAGTTTTGAATTCTAAATGATTACACACAAACAAATCCATGAATACCAGTGGTCTATCTAATAGTACACACAATTAAGAGTATCAGCCCCTATATCTTTTCAATGAACTCCACCTGATTGTATTAGCACTGTAATAACTTTTAGCAATCTATTGCCTGAAATTGTTAATATTTTAATAGCAACAGTTGATGGTTCAGTCAGTATGGCCTTGGATTTGAATCACAGTGACAAGAAGCCTCACTTATTAGCAGTGATGTAAAAAAGGTCTCATACAGAAATGTGATTGTAAAGGCTTTATGGCTTTGGGATTCAAAGGCTGGAAAACATTTTATACGAACCATCAGGAGCCCTGGCCAAAGCAAGTGATTTCCCAGTGTTCATATTCATAATTCCTTTTGTCCTTTCTTCAATATGCTGGGGAACAAAGAGAACCTGCCATTGTGACAAATCTAAACATGGATAATTGATTTTAGGGAAAAAATAACCATGTCCTGCTCTGATCATTCATTACCCATACCGTACAAATTGGAATAACAGTTTAAAAATATGACTTCACATCTTTGGGAGAAATGAGTGTCATATCACTCTCATCTTTAATAGTGGAAATAACATTTTGATGCTTCCGGTGTTTAAGGCGATATGCCAAAATCTTACTAGACCTTAAAAAAAGATAGTGTAATTATAATTAC